CCAGACTTGCTCCCTGAGCCCCAGGTCCCCACCTGCTCATGGGCCAGCCCCTCCTCCCAGCCCCACCTTGCCCCACAGGCTCAGGAAGCAGCTCCTGCTCTTTGGACAAGGGAGTCCGGAGCCTGGGACCCGAGGGGTGGGCAGCAGAGGGAGCCCCCGGGGCGTGTGTGGGCAGAGGGTCCCCGTGTCTCCAGGGACAGCCCCGTGGCTTGTCCTGCACAGGGACCCGGCCTTTCTCTCCACCAGGGGCTCTTCCCACCCCTCCCAGGAAGGGAGGCTGGAGCCTGGAGGCTGGAGGGGGCTCCTGGGCCTCCCACCAGAGCTTGCTGGGGTGGGGGCAGGCGCAAGCCGCTCCCCGTCCTGCCCAGTGGCTCCACTCCCAGGACAGGGAGAGGTGCCCGCATCCCTGCCCGTAGGTTTCCATCCCTCTCACAGACAAAGGGGGGTCAGAAAGAAGCCCTGGCCTCCCTGCAGGAGTCTCTCCCAGCTGTGAAGCGCTGCCCATCAGTGCCCTGTGGTCCTGCCCACCCCTGCCTGCGCCACCAGCATCAACAGTGAGAGGTGACTGGGGGCTCTCCAGGGCCGTGTCCCCCAGGCCGGGCAGTGGCCTGGCCCTGTGTGGTGTCCGCAGCCTCCTGTCCTTGTGGGCTCAAAGAGAGTGTGTGCTGCAGGAGGCCTTGCTGCCCGTGTCCCTGTGGGTCACCTGGGTGGTGGGGCGGTGGGACTTGGGGGGTGGGGATCCCGGGGATCAGCCCTGGCTGGGCCAGGTGGCCCCATCCCGCCTCCTGCTTCCCCTGGGCCCCTGCATCCCCCTGTCCCTGGCCACTCCCAGCCCCCGCCCCTCACCCTGAGGTTGGCTCCATTTTGGCTCCTCCTTGTTCCTCTGTTTCAGCAGTGGTGTCCTGGTGACCTGGGGTTCCGTGTCCTCATTCTCCTGGTCCTCATCCTGAGCAGTCCTCATGGTGGGGCCTGGTGGCCAGAGACAAGCAGGAGAGAAGCAACGGCCTCCCGGCTGCCGGCTGGGTGACTGACCACTATTGTGATGTCTGCATGAGGCCAGAGACTGCCTGGTCCCAGCTTCCTGTGGAAGGGCGGGGGCCACTCACAGGCTCAGTCTCCACTGCCTCCCAGGCTGGGAGGACTCCTGAGGCCAGGGGCTGACCGGGAGCCAGGGGCGGGAGTCCTGCCACACCTAGCTCTTCTCCGAGGGACCCGTGACCAGGACGTCCCTGTCCTCTGGTTTAGAGACTTCTTTAGGCATGGGCACATGTGTGCATGTGGGGGTCCACCTCACCAGGCCACCTGACTCTTGTGCTGTCCAGCTCTGGGGACTTGGGTGACACTTGTCTGCACCTCCAGCCCTCTCCTCCTCTGCTGTAAAACAGGCAAAATCAGAGCAACGCCGCAGGGCCCTGGAGAAACAGGCTGCACCACCTGGATGTGCCCAGTGGACGGTCATCTTCCAACGAGAGCAGAGGGGAGCTGGGTGTGGTGGGGCAGGCTGCAATTGCAGCCACTTGGGAGGCTGAGGCAGGAGGGTCTCAGGTTCAAGACCAGCCTCAGAAAGTTAGCAAGGCCTTAAGCAACTTAGTGAGACCCCGTCTCATAATAAAACATAAAAAGGGATGGGGATGTGGCTCAGTGGTCGAACACTCCTCGGTTCCATAGTCCTACCAAAAATCAATCAATCAATCAATCAGTCAATGAAATGTAAGAAAATAAAAGAAGGCTGGCTGGTGGGGACCAGAGGAGCTCCCGTGACAGTGGCTGTTCTCAATGCCAAAGGCAGCTGAGCTGCACACAGGGTCACGGCTGCTGGGGAGCCAGGACCATGGGGTCCCACCAGGGACTGTAGGACTTCTCCCAGGCCAGGGCACATGGGACGACCCAGAAGAGCTCAGCCTGGGTGGATAGAACCCACGGTTATGCCAAGTCCCAGGACCCAGCCTCCTCATGCCTCTGAAAGGCCACACCTGGCAGTCACAGACGTGGGACCCTGGCCTGGCAGTGCTCTTTCCAGAAACCCATCCCCATAGGAGTTGCCATTTGTGACCAGGCACCGCGCTGTTCAGTGCCGTAGCTGGGAGAGCGCCCTGTGGCTCCGTCTGGAAGTCACCAGGTTCCTCCGTGTGGCTACTCCTCCGCTGTCAAATGAGCAAGAGAGAGATGGGAACGGGGCAGGATGTGTCAGGAAGGAGGGGAGAGGAGGAGTGTCAGAGACACACCAACAGAAGCTGGCAGGGCACATGATGTAATCCCAGCGGCTCAGGAGGCTGAGGCAGGAGGATCCTGAGTTCAAAGCCAGCAGCTCAGGGCTGGGGATGTGGCTCAAGCGGTAGCACGCTCGCCTGGCATGCGTGCAGCTGGAGTTCAATCCTCAGCATCACATACCAACAAAGATGTTGAGTCTGCAAAAAACTAAAAGATAATTACTAAAAAAAAAAAA